ACACACACATTATGGATGTAAATGATGGAGGTGATGATCTCATGCCTTTGCTGGCATTGGTTAAATTGTTTAGTTAATTCGCAGGATATTTATAACAAAGACTTGGAAACCAAGAAAAGGACCTTTGGGGTTCAGAGAAAGTTTCATGCATGCCTCTTGGCCACAAATTACGGAAGAGAAATTGGAGTAGTGATCACGGGAATAGATAAGTTGTGTGAATATTCGAGAAAAATTATTAATAAAATAATACGATAAATTCTGTAAATGTTGGATAGAACCAAGGAACAAAATGCCGCCGATATTATCGGTTTTTCACAATACCAATATTTTAATAGGTATCCAACGGGTTTTCGTCAAAATATCGCGATATTATTGATAATATCGATAATATCGCGATATTTCCGAAACTATCGCGATATTTTGGAACTGTGCTACTCGGAGAAGAACTGGAGAAGAACGCCGGAGCTTCTACAGCTTCGGCCGACTGTAAAAGAGCACCCTAGACACCGATCTAGGTATCAAAATGAAATAGAAGACGAGATGAATGTTTTTATAAATTCTGTTTGCCGTGAAACAGTCGGAGGTGTTTAGAAAGTTCGTCAACACCCACGACCTCGCCGGAGATGGGTGTGCCTATTCCCGAGCCGATTTCGTCCCAAAAACCTTGCAAAAACACAATTTTGAACTTAAATTTCACATATAAGCTTCAACTAGAACAGAAAGAGGCAAACCCGAAGCTTACCTAACCGGAGAAATTCAAGAACCTCGCCGAAGTTCCTACGTTCGCCGAGTTGCAGAGACGAGAAGGAGAGGGAGAAAGACAAGGTTGCTAATGATGATGGGTGTCTTCCTGAAGCAGGTGCGATGGTGTGCGTGTGTGTATGTGGGTCTCGGACCCTCGGTGCAGAGAGAAAAGAGAGAGACAGTGCCGACGAGGGAGGAGCAGAAGGCGATGTGGGAGAAGGATCGAGAGACCTTGGGTCTTTGTGCATGTGTGTGGGAGAAGGATCGAGAGACCTTGGGTCTCTGTGCATGTGTGTAGGAAATCTGTGTGTGTGTGTGGGAGAATGGAGAAGGGAGATCAGAGAAGAGAGAAGGATGGAGAGAGAGAGACTGTGTGCATGTGTTGTGTTGTGTTGTGTGCGTGTGTTGTGTTATGTGCGTGTGTGGTGGCGTGTCGGTGTGTGTGTGTGGTTGGGTCATCTGACTCACACTCACCTGACAACTTTTACAATCACTTTTTACAATTTCAGACCATGGACAAAAATAATAGTGCTTTCATAATGAAACTGTGTGCCATTGTGAGTTTGTGATATTCTTTCACATTCAAAACCGTGTGCCACTGTGAGTCTGTGATATTCTTTCACATTCTCAGAGGTGGAGTATCAGAGCCATTCAGAGCATTTTCGTTTCTTCTTCTTCCCTTACCCCTTTCAAAGTCATTCCAGATCCATTCCAGAGCTTGAACACAAAGGTTCCATATTTAAAGTAAGTTTACAAACTTATATTTATATTATTGTAATTTATACAACAACAAAAAAATTTGTATGGACTCGTATGTTAATTTTTTTAAGTAATTAAGTAATGTTGTATAATTATTCCCTAGGATAATTTTAATATGTTTAATGTTATTTATTATTTTATTAATATTAGGTTTGATTATCAAATTGGATTATTATTCATTAATATTAGGTTTTTTAGTTATCAAATTGGATTATTATTCATTAAATTGGATTATTATCAATCTTCAAATGATTTTGCTTATGGACAAGGTCAACCAATCTCGGATCCATATGGGTGACATGTTAACAATTACATGCAAAACTATTTTGGGGATTTATCATTTGATAACTACTATTCACAATACACTCACTCTACACATAGAGATGATGAAGATAGTGAAAAATTTGAACCTCATAGGAACTCTATGTGGTACTAAGTCACTCATGTATCTTACCATGCAATGTATAAAGTATAAAATATTGTACTAATTAATTATATATAAATGATTATGGTGTGTTTAAACTTCTTTCATTAATTACTACATATTTTCTACACTCACAATGTTTGCCAGCTCGCTATATAATCAACTTGATAATGTTAAATTCATCATGCAATGCATTTCCTTCCAATTTTTTTTGATAAACTAATAGATAATTGACTAAATAAACATCCTGCAAAGTTTCAATAAAAATTTCCAAGTTTTTCTTACAATTTCCGTGGTTTCCATATTATTTTTATCGATATCGATATTATCCCGATATTTCCATCGATATTTCTGTGTTTTCGGACTACCGATATTTCCGATATCATCGATATTTAATACCTTGGATAGAACGGGAGAGTTCTTTGTTTTGAAATCCAACTACATAATATATATTTTAAGACTATCCAAATTAAAAATAAAAACTCAAAAATAAATCGGATAGAACGGGAGAGTTCTTTGTTTTGAAATCCAACTACATAATATATATTTTAAGACTATCCAAATTAAAAATAAAAACTCAAAAATAAATCGACGACTTGTAGTAGGACTTATATAATAGAGGTGTACCCTAATAATTACTTTTATTTATTTTTTTATGAACCAACGTTATTATCTACATTAAAGGGGAGAGAGAGTAGGCTTAAAGTTCACAATAGACTATCAATATTATAGTTCAAATTTATCTTTAGCAAGAATCGAATCTAAAAACTATCACTTATAAATAAAAAAGAATATCACTAAACCGTAGTACGAAGTGATTAATAATCATTTTTTAATAGTTACAGAAAACATAATATTTCTAACATTACTCGTCAATCGAACGGACTTAAGTTGAATTCATTTTTAGGCAACTTTTTTCTTTTTAATATGCTTTATTTCTCCATCCTCACTTCCACGAGCTTATTCTTCTTCGTTCAATATTTTTCTTATATACATTTCCAATATTTTAAATGGAATTAATAAAGAAAGACGCAATGACCTGAGCTGTAAAAGAACAAATTTGCTTTTTGACCTGGGGGAGTCGTAGCCGACAAGAATACTGCAGTCTGAAGAAAAAGACAGATTCCGAAAGCTGACCCGGCATGCACCTTCCACCTCGTAATCTATTTCTTTTTCTTCTTTCTTTATTTGAACTATTATGATTTAATCACGTTAATATTTAATATTAATTTTTTTATAAATATAATAAGATAAAAAAATAATATGACGTTAATATTTAATATTAATTTTTTTATAAATATAATAAAACAAAAAATAATATGTATGAGAAGAAGAGGAAAAAAGATAAGAATAGAAGGAAAGTAGTAATTATATAGACATATTGAGGAAACAACGGAGCATGCATATTTATGACTCCCTTGCCACGTGGTATCTTACTATGTTAGTGATTTCCGCACTCCCTGTTTTTTAAATTTACACTCTTTCGTTTGGATTTTTCTTTTATTTCCTACAGAAGGAGGTCTGAAAGAGGTGTGGAAATTGCTCCCGATAATGTGCACGTCGATTAAAATGGAAATTAAAAACTGCTCATTGGACTTTGCATACTAAGAAATCATTGGACAAAGAAATCATTGGACTTTTGATTTGTTATTATGCTGCTGCACTAATTAGTCACAGGAAGATCTGATCAATGAAACGGTCCAATGATGAGTGTGAGGAACCACCATCCATCAACGCTCTCCTGCTCTTGTCACTCATCTCCTTCACCTTCTTCCTCTGCTCACTCTCAACCTCCATCACCTCCCTTATCCCTCTCTCTATCTCCTCCGCCCTCACCACCACCTCCCCTTCCCTCCTGTAATCCATCTTAATCTCCACCGCCAGTCCCAACTCCCTCACCAGCTCAAACGCATTCAACTGCTGCTCCACGTACATTGGCCAAGCCGCAACTGGCACCCCGTACCAGAGACTCTCTAGGGTTGAATTCCACCCCCAATGGGACACGAACCCACCCACCGATGGATGGCCCAAGACCGCAACTTGCGGGGCCCATCCTATGACCTTCCCTGTCCCGGCCGTGCGGTCGAGGAACCCTTGGGGCAGGACTCCGCTGGGATCAGCATAATCACTGGCGAATGGAAGCTCCCCCTTTGGCGGGGGCTGGCGTAGGGACCACAAGAATCGGAGGCCGCAGTGCTCAAGCGCGGCGGCTATCTCCTTCACTTGGTCCCCACCAAAGCATCCCATGCTCCCAAAGCACAGGAACACCACCGACAAAGGAGGTTGATCATCAAGCCACTCCAGAATTTCCTTCTTTTTGGCCAGCTCCGAGCCTTCAGGGTCACTCTTCAAGTTCAGTATGGGCCCTACAGGGTACAGCGACGGGGTTTTGCAGTCGGTAAGAGCTCCGCGGCCGTGGGATTCTAGCTCCATGAAGGTGTTTACCAAAATCCCCTTGGTTTCTCTGAACCTTCTGGCATGGTTGATGAACTCTGTGGCGCTATCCTTGTCCAGATACATGCCAGGCAAGACTCTAGCAGGCATTGGGTTGACAAGACACGGCAAAACCAAATCAGGATCCGATTCCTTCAGCTCAGTGCAGTCCTTGTTCTGCTCGTCATGAAGGGTTTGGAGGTGGAGCACAAGCCCGAGAAAGCCTGCGCCGGACGTGAAGAAGACGTAGGTAGGAACCCCAAACTCATTGGCCACGTCTATCATGGTGGTGCAGAACATGTCGATGACAAACCCGACTAGACTGGGCTTGCAATCAGACTGAAGGGCCTCACTAGTGAGCTTCGCGACTGCATCTCTGACGTGTTGTTTGTGATTTTCAACGAATAGCTTCAGGAAGAGGCGGGTCTTAATACCCTTCGTCTCTACGGCTTCCTCCGGGAGGTTGATGAACCTGATACGTTCGGCGTCGTCAGCACCCTTGAGCTTCAACTTGGACTCCAAGGGCAGCTTCATGGTGAGCACTGTGATGAAAAGCCGGTCGTCTCGAACAACTAAGAGCTTTGCGATCTCGAACGAGGACGCAAGATGGCCAATACCTATGGCAGGAATGAACACTAGCTCTCTCTCTCTCTCTCTCTATATATATATATTACACGTAAGTATGTATGTGTATACATATCGAAGCATGCACATGGATTGTGGTGTTTTATATAACAAATATAAACCACTCACAATTCTTGGAGCTTTCCCTTGGCCCAACCACGAAAGGACGTACAAAGCTTTCATGTTATCTTTTTAGTAACGACAGTGCCGGTGACCTTTTGAGGTGATAAATCCTGCATTGCCACACACATAACGATGTTTATATGTATATGGTGTACGTAATGAAATCGGTTTCTTCCGTAAGGGAAAAAGGAGAAGCACCAAAGTATATTTAAGTAGAAAGTTGGAAAGGAAAATCTCCATACGGCTCAACAAAGTTAAAATAAGCAAAAGCATTTTTTTAAGTCTTGGCAGCAACGAAAACTTAGTAGAAGATACTACAATCAGATTATTGTATATAAATGAACCTTTTGTCTGACAAGAATATGGATCGTAATAAAAAGTTAAAAAGAAAGATAGGATCATAAAATAATCATGAAAATTAGAGCTTTTACGTGTTGTATCAGGGAACCCAACGAGATTCGGAAAAGAAAGTGGAACAGAATAAACAGAGAAGAATACCTAGTGAAAGGACTTCCTCCCATTTCTGCACAGAGGAAAATGTCCGTCTGCAGCTACAGCACTAGAACTTCCCTTCAATGGGCAGGGCACAACGGAGCTGTCTGTTTTAGTTTTTGATGGAGATTTCCGCGGCCAGATGCGGTTTCCTCATGTGCCCTGTAACATGACCAAATTACAGATTTTCTTTCACAGAATTATAACCAATTTAACCTTCAAAAGAACGAAAAGTTTAATATTTTCCTCATTCATGACTGTATGTGACTCAGTAAACGTGAGAGCGTATATACGTAGTTCACTTTAACAATATACATATCAGGAAAGTATAAGACTGCAAGGTAACATATGATATACTGGCCTTATGACTCTCTATCTTATCCACTGCAGAGAACACATTACTGAACTCCATAGCAAACATATGATGGCCTTGATGGGAAATATATCCCATGCTGCAAATTCACATTTATATACTTACTACCAGTTTAGCAAGCATCCTTCCTAAATTATTATTGCCCAACCAATTCTAAAAATTATTATTGCCTGCTTCACAACTTCCATATAGAATCCAGATGGCATATTCCATATTTGGGTTGTTGTACGAAAGCGACAGATATGAGATCAATACATAAGCAAGGCAAAGTTTGATAAATACTGAAATCCAAATAACCCAAGGATTTATACTATAGTTGAGAATAAGCCTACGTTTAGTTTGGAGACGGCAAGGAAATTCCAGTAATAAGAAAGGGGATTACAAAAGTGTTTTACATCACAAACCCAAATCCCACATGCACCCAAGCTTACATAATGTGGACCCAAAAGTAAAGGAACTATGTCCTACATCATTACATATTCATCAGTGTTTTGCCTCTGCCAATACAAAGCTTCCATACACTGATGAACAACACAAGTTACTTTGGGTGTAGTACCAATAAGTAGACTCTTATTCAACCACTTCTTAGCTGCTCTCGGTGCACAATTAAATGCATATAAACTAGTGTGTTAGAGAAGTCAAATAAAAGAAAATCAGTGTACCTTAGGAAGTCATATTGAATGGGCAGATAGTAGATACCAGCCTTACAAACATAGGTGACGTGAGTGATTTAAAGCTAAGTAACAAATTCAACCATAGCCAATTAGTCAGCAAAGCCACATAAATATTGCTTATAATAGCCTTCATGGGGAGACACAGCACAAAACATTAAGATTTTCAAGAGTTCTAAGTAGATCAACCAATATAATACGACAATACGAGTCACCCACGAGTAAGCCAAATGGAAGAAAATAAACTACTCGTGCAGGGTATTCCATGAAGATCAAAGTATCATTAACTAAGCATGGCCATGCGCAACACTATATACAGAAATCATGCTTTTTTAACTGACCTGAATATATGTATGAGGCGTCTTTGAGATGGCAGCTTATTAACTTGCTATGGCTCAACCGCTAGTGTCCAAAGTTCACTCTCAAAGACCATGGGGACAGATTTAAGCGCCATCTAAAAAGAATATAACTTAGACAACTGCTGACCCGCACCAAAAGCTAAATTAGCAAGAAAGTAGATTCCAGCTGCAGATACAAACATCACGATACATCACATAAACCTAAGATGAAGCTAAACTCAATAAAAAGACATGCCCACTGACTTGCCAGAAACCAGCCAGTCTAGTTTTAGGAAAATTCCCCCTTTTAATCCAGTCCTTAACTATGTATTTTTAGGAATCTTGAGAAAATGCATATCTTAGACGATTAAAATTGGATCGACAATCACAAACGATAAACTTACATGAAGGGCAGTTTTCCATGGATAGATAGTTCTTGTTATGATCCTGCAAAGGAGTTGCGGATGCTGCAATGCGAGCATCGAATGGTGGATAATTTGCATGCAGACTTGTCAAAATAGTTTACCACATTGAATGACACCACAAGCTGAAAAGATCTTCTTTCAAGAATTCTTCATCAGTCATAAGGTTCCAAGATTGCATCGAAGGAAGAATTGAGAGAAGGCCTATAACCAGTATCTTTCATCTTCACAGTCAATTCCTCCAATATATCATATATCTCATCACCCTGAGGATGGTTTTGGTTCCTAGATACGAAACAGTTCAAAAAACCGCTAATATCAATCCAACTACATCCAGTCTCCTTCCTCAAACCTTTTTCCCTCATTTGTTTCCTCACATTATCCACGTTTTCCCACTTGCCTTCCTCGGCATACATATTTGAGAGTAAAACATGGTAGCCCCTTTTGCCATTTGCTGCCTCTAGTTCAAGCAATTTCCCAGCAACAATCTTTCCCAATTCAAAATGTTTATGAATTCTGCACGCCCCAAGAAGTGAGCCCCAAATTTCCATCGCATCACCCTCTTCGCCCAACCCTTTGACAAACTCGTAGGCTCAACCATTCTCCCAACCCTCCCTAACATGTCTGCTATACAGCAATAGTGTGCCGTTAGTGGTTTAATATTGTATTCCCTTTTCATTGAATCATATATCAAAAGACCTTCGTTAACCAAACCAGCATAACTGCAGGCAGACAAGACTGCAACAAAGGTTATGGCATCAGGTGCAATGCCAGATTTCTGCATTGAGTGAAACAAAGAGAGAGCTCTCTCACCCACTCCATGCTGACCGTAGCCCAGTATCATTGTGGTATATGTGACAGAGTTCTTCTCATGGGATCCAGCGAAAACATTTTCAGCATAAGTGACTGCACCACATTTGGAATACATGTCAATTAGAGCAGATCCCACGAAGACGTTTTGGGCAAGGTAGTGGCGGATAGAGAACCCATGGAGTTGCTTACCCATATCTATGTTTCCCACTATATTACAAGCTGGGAGAACCGATGCTAAGGTCACAGCATTTGGGATTAGATTTTGCTCAAGCATCTGCCTAAAGACAAAGAAAGCTTCTTCAGATAGCCCATTCTGTGTGTACCCAGCAATCATAGAATTCCAAGTAGCCTGATCTCTATCACGGCTGTAGTCTTTTTTGAAAACCCGTTCTGCGATCCTTACTGAGCCAGATTTAGCATACATATCGATGAGATAACTGTCCATCCCCTCAAATTGTATGTCATGCCTAATAAGATAAGCATGAGTCTGCTTTCCAATATCTGGATTTCTAAGATTTGATGAAGCCGAAAGTAGAGCAGTTACAGTTACCGAATCAATCATGAACCTTTGCTTTTGCATCTCATAAACAAGCATCAAAGCTTCATCATCTAAACCATTTTGCACGAATGCAGAAATCATAGTATTCCATGAAACAACATCCCTCTCAGGCATCTTATGAAAAATTTTGAATGACATGTCAACAGAATTGCACCTTGAATACATTACGATAGTCGCATTGAGTAAAATAACGGGCATCGATCTCAAATGCTTGATGATAAAAGCATGCAGCTGTCCAGCTAATTCCAACTGTTGCATCTGTGAACATGCAGTTAAAACTGATAGGAAAGTCACCTCATCAAGAATAGCCACTTCTGAGTTTACAGCTTGAAAGAAGAGGTCGATCGCTTCAATAGGACGGTTGTTTTGAACATATGCACCGATCATAGTGTTCCAAATCTCTGTATTTCTCTCGGAACAATGGTCAAAAATCTTCCTAGCATATTCAAGCTCGGCATACATAAATATTGCCGAGCTCACAACAAACAAGTCAGTCACGTATTCCCCACCCAACCTAAGAAGCATACTGTATAGTCTCCCATAGCGGAAAGTGCAGGGAAAACATTGACAAAACTGACAGCACTCGGTGTTATTCTCATTCCCATCATCATCCTAAACTGCTTCACTGCTTCTGCATATCTTTCCGTCTTAACATACCACGAAACCAGCGTATTCCAAGCAACCACATTCCTCTTGCGCATTGTATCAAACACTCTACGCACTAAATCATACTGTGAATAATCAAAGTCATAATAACAAGCAGAGTACATATTCAAAAGCGAATTGCACACAATCCTACTGGGGATCGGAAGACACCGAAGAACATGGCAATGCAGGGCTTTACCCATCTTGAAATTACGCGTGTCGGTGCAGGCTTTGAGGGTAGAAGAGTAAGTGTAAGGGTCGGCCTTGGGCCGGGAGAGGCGGATTTCATCTGGGAGTAGAACAAGAGGGCTTCATTGGCCATGTTGCTGCAGATGAATCCAATGATGATGGTGTTCCAGAGCACGGTGGAGGGGCCAGGCAAAGTGTCGAACAGTTGGCGGGCAAGGTGAGGAGGAGGGATTCCTCCTGAAAATGTTTTGCGGACGATTCATAAAATTTCGTGCTAATGATCGAAACCATTAATGATATAAATCATTATGGAAAATATCATCTTTATAAAAAAAATTAAAATGATGGTAGTGAAGTCAAATAACTGCAACAAATAGATAAAACAGCTCATAATACTTTTAATAATTCTGGCTATATATATTTACACATTTTGATGACATAATGATTTCATGTGATGATCTTTACACAACGACATATAATATGAACAATTCTAACGACAAACACAAAATTTTGAGTCCGTTACAACACATTTTTAGGGGATATCCTTCTCATCGTTTCAGTTGTAAAGTATTATTCTAAGCATATATATCAATTGCATGGCCTGTGGGATGGGGGTGGTGTTTTAATTCTTGGATTTTTTTCATGTGGAGGTGATGATGTCATGCCTTTGCTGTCATTTGCTAATTTCTAAAACCCTAGCTAGTACATGCTGTTGTCTGCAGTTAAGATTTCGGAGTTTATAACCAATACAAATGAAGAAGAAAAGTCACCATAATTTATTACAAGTCGTAAGTAGAAGACTATATAGAGACCACAAAAAAACCACACATAAGATGAACGCGATTTAATTGATGAAATTGAGGTTCTATCATAAAATCAATTGGCAATATGAGGAGTAGCCCAAGATCATATAAGCACATAGCAAACCTTGTCCCTCACCAATGTGGGACAACTCTCAACATTAATCACATGCGTAGAGAAAGAGTGGGGCTAGCTGTGACTATTTGTTTTGGCAGTGTATAGTGTATACTGGTTGATGAAATAGACAGTTTGTATCGGTGAACTTAGGTCCCTCGTGATTCCTTGGATACCACACAACTACAAACACAAGACTTATCTGCATATATATTCTCGCGCATAGGATCGATGGATTACAAGTTTACAACAAACACCATGTAGAGCAGAAGAATGTAGATTTATCTGCCCAAAATAAATTGATTGAGTGTTAGTACATGTCTATGAATAAGTTAGTGGTTGACAATGCTCACAGCATGTAATGAAGAGTTGGTCATCTGGAGCTTTCATTATTATTAGTAAAAACTCTATATTGAAAATGATGTCAAAACAAATTTTTAGGCATGCATTAGGTGCACATACAAGCTGAATTGATCAGTATTCAGTACAGGGCCATTCTGAAAATCTCGACATCAGGATTACTTGTTCACACATTCGTAAGCAAGTTAGATTTTCAAAGAAAAGAAAATGTCACCACAAGATTTTAAGATTTGATACGTTGAACTATGTATTAATGGAAAACTTACAATACAAACGTTGCAAATTACATATCGTAAAAATAAGCGAGGAGAATATAAAAGCCCCCCAACCCAATTAAATTTGATCAATAAAACGCCCTAATGAAGAGTAAGAAGAACCACCATCCACCAAGGCTTTCTTGCTCTTTTCACTCATCTCCTTCACTCTTTTCCTTACATCACTGTCAAGCTCCATCACTCGCCTTATCCCTCTTTCTATGTCTTCTGCGCTCACCACCACGTCGCTGTCCTTCCTATAATCCATCTTAATCTCCACTGACAGTCCCAACTCCTTCACCAATTGAAAGGCATTCAGGTTTTGCTCCGCGTACATTGGCCATGCGGCAATCGGCACGCCATTCCATAAGCTTTCCAACGTAGAATTCCACCCGCAATGTGATACAAACGCTCCGGTTGCCGGATGGCCTAGAATGGCCGCTTGCGGGGCCCAACCAATCACCTTCCCAACCGTAGCCGTCCGATCAAGAAACCCTTCGGGCAAGACTGCCTTTGGATCCTCGTAGTCGCTTGGCATAGCTCTCTTGCCTTTAGGTGGGGGCCGGCGTAGGGACCACAAAAACCGATGTCCGCTGTGCTCTAGCGCGCACGCTATCTCATTCACCTGGGCCTCACCGAAACTTCCCATGCTTCCAAAACACAGGAACACCACCGAGAAAGGAGGCTGATCATCAAGCCACCTCAAGATATCCGAGACCTTATCTTCATCACTACTTTTGAGGTTCAATAAGGGTCCCACCGGATACACCGGTGGGATTTTATCACCAGAATCAAGATAATGAAGAGCAGGCGATTCTAGCTCCATGAATGTATTAACCAAAATACCCTTGGTTTGTTTAAACCTGTTGACGGAGTCGAGGATTGTTTTGGTGCTCTCCTTGTCCAGAAACGAACCAGGCAAGACAGAGGCAGGGTAAGGGTTGATGAAACTCGGGACGGCCAACTCAGCGGTTGAGCTCGTCAACTCAGTTATATCTATTCCCCCCTCGTCACGAAGCGATTGAAAATGGAACATAAGTGCGAGAGTCGAAGCGTTGGAGGTGAAGAACAGGTAGGAGGGAACCTTAAATTCGTTGGCCACGTCCATTAGGCTTGCGCAAAACATGTCGAGCACGAACCCGGCAAGCCGAGGCTTCGACGTCGACTCAGACTGATCTGACTCGGGGAGTAAGTTGATAACGGCGTCTCTGACGTGAGATGTGTGATTTTCGACGAGCATTCTTAAGAAGGACCCGGGATTGGGGACAGTGTCTTGTTTGTCCGATTGGGCTTCTGGGAGGTTGACGAAGTCGATGCGGTGAGAGATTGAAGAATCAGTGTTGGTGAATGGTTGGGCGTAGGGAAGCTTCATGACGAGGACTGTGATAAACAGTTGGTCGTCCCGAGCAACGAGTTGCTTTGCCATCTCGACCGTTGGTACCATGTGGCCGATGATGCCTGGGGCGGGAACGAACACTAGTTGTGCTGGTCTCTTCATCTTTTGAGAAATGGCAATGAATAGCTGAGCTGTTTTATTTAGAAAAACTCTTTCATTTTATAGTAGAATGGTATGATGTCATGCCTTCGCTCATAGTTCTGAATTTCCTACAAGTCAAGATCTTAATTACTTTCCAGACTGGAAAGACTTGGACATCAATAGCAAGAAGATAAAACAAAGGGTTGTCAAATTTTATTTTGGTTCCATCACCAGTCGTAAGGCTAGTTTGATATTGTTGTGATTTGAAAAAAAAACTGTTTTTATTGTGTTGTGAAAATAAGCAGCAATGAAATAAAGCAGCAGAATGTTTGGTAAACTTTTTTGTAAAAGTGCTTTTGAAAAAAAATACAGTATTATAGTGCTTGGTAAAATTTTATATAAAACATATGTGAAAAAAAAATCGGTTTTTCAAAGCTAGGTTTTGCAGCTTTGTGTTTTTGGCTTTTTTCATCCAAAACTGTGGAAAAAAACTGAAGTTGAATGTTTACCAAACACAAAAAAACTAAGAACTTTTTTTTGTACCTATTTTTTTCAGAACCACCTCAGTACCAAATCAGGCCGTAGTCTATAGAAAAGTACCACCAATTAAGTTTCACTTTTAATTTTGGTACTTACGTTTCATATTGCCTTGAGTAGAATGTTGAAGAATTGAAAACCGACATGGTTCACACGCGGTCAAGATTTCAGTTACTATTACTAAGCACACCATGTTCTCTACAGTGGTTATCTTTTCTTCTTCTTTTCTCAAAAGCAACGAAAGATTCATCATCGAATTAGAATCTTGTTCACAATTGGAATGCTGGGGTTAGGTTTTGTTCACAATTGGAACAGTAGTATAGTCCGATACCAAGACGTCAAAGCGGGGTAAGCAGCCACTATACTAATCACAAAACGAAACTTTCTCAACTTAGTTACATGCACAATCAGCCATATGTTAAATTTAATCACAAAATATTTTGTTGCAAGAAATGAAGTCATTCAATACACGTAATTTAATATGTAGAGTTTCTGATGTGGAATTACATTCTTTAACAAGATTTCATTCATGGGAAGCCAATCAAATCAGCCCAATTGAGTGTAAAATAATAGGCACGAGTAAACCATGTCTAGTGTTGAAACTCACAATTGTAACCCAAAAAGCAAATAATAGTTCATTAATGAAAGAAGTAAACTGTGAAATCGGCAAAATCATTTTCATTAGTTGTTAAGTAACGGTTCACGTAAAAGAATTCGTTAACTAAATCTGCAAAGCAGACTAATTACGTGGAAGAGTTGACGAAGTCATTAACTAAACAAGAAGTCATTTTGCAATCCATCTTTCACGCTTGTACCATCTCAATTAGAAAAGTGGTTGGGATTTGTCAAACTACTGGTGTAAGATGCAGCGTGACATAATTGTTTCAGAATTATATGAACCGACCAAATGTATAGGGCAACACAGTATTTTAATGCGCGTAGTAGACTAATAGTGACATGTAAACAACACAAATAAAAGATAACAAATTTTCCTAAAAAATTTTCTTAAACTCTTTGAATTTTCAAAGTTCTCCTTAAGAATGATCAATAATCTTTGACAAATCAAAGGGAAAATTTGATCAACAAAACGTCCGAAAGAATTGTAAGAGGAACAATCAACCATCAAGGCTTTCTTGCTCCTCACCATGTCCTTCAACCTCTTCCTCACATCACTATCCTTCTCCATCATCTCCTTTATCCTACGCTCCTGTTCATGTGCCTTAACATTCGGACTCTCACCGTAAAAGTCCTTCCTGTACTAGATATTAATTTCCTCGGCCAATCCCAATTCCCTGTCCAAC